TCATGTTTTTTTTTTCTTTCTGAAAGCTTGCGTCCCTGTTAATAACCCCTTGCTCACTGCGGATCTATTCTACTCGGTAATTACTGACTTTACACCACAGATCTCTGTGAGCTGTTTACCTCATCCACACACAAACACAGGTCTTTATCTGTAGATTACAGCAGCATGTCATCTGATTTATAACTCAATGACTCTTGAGGGATGAGGCAACTCATGTCCAGTCATTTTACCTGTCATTAGTTAATGACAATGGAAATATATCCTGTTCAAAATGAATCGGAGATGATCACTAAAATGTTTTGGTAGCAATTAATATCCAATCAATTAATACAAATATATTTTTTTACTTTTAAAAACCACAGAGTATACCAAAGTGATGCGCAATTTACAAAAAAAAATAAATAAATAAATAAAATAATACTAAAATAAATAAAACGCAGTGAAATGCAAAATGAAAGAAATATTATGCTGCTTTAAAAAAACAACAAAAAAAAACAGAAAATTAATTTTACTGACATACCACACTGGTATTTTTCTGCCATTAATTTTACTGACATTTCCGTTAACTCTAGAACACAACGCAGTGCAGTGCACAACTCAAAATACAGGTAAAACACCTGTGGAAAAATCAATATGTAAAATTATCAATACGTATCAATATCTAAAAATATTACATTGTACCTTTTATTTTTACTTTTTTTTTTTTTTTTTTTGGCGTGCATGAGAGAAAAATATAGAATGAATAAAATAAACACCGCTAATGCATCTGAAACTTAATGGTTATAAAGAATAGTGAAGGCCTCATCAAACAAATGTTCGCATTACACGTGTAATATGCAAAATATCATGTTTGTCAACACAATCATTTTCTGTCTAACTGTGGTGTCAGTTAGATAGAGCTGAAGATCAGTGTAAAATGTTTTCTTATTAATAATAATATACTATATATTTCAAATGACAGGGTGTATTATTTTCCTATCTGGTGTGTTGACAGGCAAGAAAAAGTTGTAATAAAATGTAAGAAGCAGAACAGAACAGAATAATGCAGAATAGCAAAATAACATATTTTTGCACATCTGTAGCCTGTTTTCTCTCAAAAATAAATGAAGTGATTATTAGTGTTAATCCAGATGGAAGTACAGGGTGATGCACCACTCATAACCACTGGCTTCTTCAGTTCATCTGCCAGAAATGTTAGATCGGTTGCCAGATTTCAGCGTTTGGGAAATGTGTGAAAGCTGGATATACTCTCAAAATGATCCGGCAGTGACGTGTGGTGGGAAATGAGGGGCCAAAGTCCCCTTTCTGGGTTTGTCTCGATGTAGATGTGACTGAAAGTGGAGAAAAATGAGTGTGAGAGTTGTTTACTTATAGTAATTTATGGGTCAAAGGTGAAAAGGAGTTTTCAAGCATCAAAACAATGAAAGTTTAATACAGCTTTAAATTTAGGCCTAGATATTTCTTGTACATTAGAATGTGTCCTGTTTAATTCGATTTTTCTGAGCAAAAATGACATTTTTACCATGATTTATAGAAAAGAAATATAATTCAGTGTAGCAATAGTTTATATAGCAATAAATCTTGTCAAGCATATTTAGAACAAGAATCATAAGATGGCATTAAAATACTCTGTTTAAGGATCAGTGCAGCAACACAATACATATTAAATGTGATTTTTAAATCTTTACCAATCTTTGCCACTGCCTTTCAAACCACTTGTTTTTATCCATTTGTCAGCAAGAAGTTTTTGATCTTTTAAAATATAATAGAATTTAGTTTGATCACTTTTTTTCTTTTATGTACTTTAATAAGTACAGGTCAAAATAAGTATGCTGTTTCATTTTTACATATGTCTCTTACGCTGATAGAACATTACAGTATTTCACCCATATCTTGACATTTCATTTTTACAGAAGTTATTTGAAACGTTAATTAGACACTTTACTTGCATTTAATATGCTTTGGATGTATATAAAAATCACGTTTGTAAATGTAATTTGATGCAGACAACAAAACAAAAGTTGCTTTGCAGACCAGTTATGAACATGATAGGCCATGGTTAGGTTATTATAGTAAACTAAATCATAAAAAAAAAATGTTACTTGAAATAAAATGTTAACTGAAATTAAATTGAATATAAAAATGAAACTTTCATTTAGTTTAACTTTGATAACTAAAAATAAAAAACCAAAAAATGGCAAATTCAAAAATAAAATTTGTAAAAATTAATAAAATGATTGAAGACTATATAGATGTATTTTTTTTTTTAAATATCGGAAGTGACAAACTCGCCACTAAATTACTGAATTATTAAAATATTTCAAAATATTAACAGGGCTCGAAATTAACTTTTTTACTTGGTAGCACTGGTGCTCCCAACTTCAAAAAGTTAGGAGCACCAGCAAAAATTTAGGAGCACCACAACTACAAATTATATATTAACAGATTTTATCCTTACATTCTTAACTTTAATGCAGATTTTGTATTGGTTAATATTAGCTGTCAATCTCTCAGTCACTGCTTTCCGCTATCTACCGCAAGAAAAAGAAAGGGCTGAAGAAGAGAGAAAATGAAAAGAACACTGACAGATTTCTTTTGTAAACAACCTAAAGTTAAGCTCTTCTTTAGAGAGGGTTAGGATGGTGTATGGGGTGTTAAATTTTACATTCAGCTCTGCCAGTTGCACCGAATGGCTGGCAGCTTGGGGTGTGCGATATTGACAAATTATATCTCGATATTTTCTGGGATTTTATCGATAACAATAATTTGACTGAGTGTTACTGTGCTGATAATTTAAGGACTACAGTGGACAGCTGACTCCTAAAATGTTTAATATTCATATTCTGTGTGGTGGTCAGTTCACAGCAGTGACAAAAATGAATCTTTTCCAAACTGTTTAAAAATTTTTTACTAAAAGTGTGCATTATCATTAGAGTCAAATTCTTATATTTAATCAGTCAATTATAATAAGACATTTGGGCTGTTATCAAGCAAATGAAAGTATCAATCAACAAAATTCATCTTTGCAATGCAGAGGAAACACAGAATCTGCATCTGAAATGGCATTTAGATGCATTCACACACTGATTAATGCAGGACATGAATGCATTTAGCCTGCAGTTACACATGCATAAATAATATTTTAATATTGTAAACATAAAACGTTGAATACTGATATTTGAAATAATTGAAACTTTAAATGTGAAATGAAAACCGCCAGTAGGTGGCAGCAAGTCACTGTTAATAAGTGAGTCATTGCGATTGAACCGAATCATTTGATGAATGATTCATTCAGGAACGAAACTTCGTCATGTTGCTCAGAGACACAAAACAGCGCTGTGACTGTGCTTGGAATTATCTCTGTCTGTCTGTCTCTCTCTGAGTGTTTTATGTAGTTAGTAATATGAGAGGGTTTCCCATGCCTGCAGCTAAATGAAATTAAATTCAGTCCTGTGATGTTAAAGAATAAGGCTATATAAGTTTGACGGGACAGAAACTTAATACACATTCATCAATGTATTGCAAACATATACTTGGCTGGCAAAGCATATTTCATAAGTTTTCAGAATAGTGATTTAATAATGAACAATTTAATAGTAAAAATGTATACGGTTTGACAGAATATAAATTACCATGCAACTATGAACAAATAACTTTTTTAAAATATTATATATTCTATTTTTATATTTAATTTGTTATAGTATTATTTTATTTGTTTTTATTTATTTATTATTTTATTTCAATTTAATTAAGGAAGATATAGCCCTTTTTCCCTTTTCTGGGAAGAGTTTCAAGTGGGTGTTTCTTCGAAGCCTTTTCTGGTTAGCCATACAGCGACTTACTTGTAAACAGGCGATTTCTTGTGCTGCATAAAGATCATGATGTTCTTGAATGCTGTTGACTTCTTGTACCACTGTTTTAAGGATGTGTCTTCCAGAAACGGGCAGATTTAAGTTAATTTGCAACCTTAGAAGGTTCAACTTGCTCAGCTAATCTTTAAAAAAATCTTCAGATATTTCTTGGCCCATCTTCACTTTTCATCTTGTGACATGGCTTCAAGCTTTCTTTCTTAAGAAAGTTCTCTACAAGAGCCTGACACTTTGAACTTCTGGAGAATCCCAGTAGGTTTCAGTTCATGAAGATGTTGACACTAGAAACTCGAGAGTCTTTGGTGTCTTTTTGGTTAATTCATCACAAGTCTTTTGCAGTTCATTTGCACCTCCTCCTCTCAGCGCGTTTTGAAACCCTATTGACTATTATTAACATGATTTTTGTCGCCTGATGGTCACGTTTTTTTTGTAGTTGTTTGGAGTGAAATTTCTGGTTTGAACTATTCCTTTTAAGGAGCATTGATTCTCTGAAGATGGTTTATTTCCGTACCTTACTATTTGAAGTTTTGACATGTAAATGAATGGTGTTTGTAAGAAAGATTAATTGCAGATGTTAAAATAAATGTGGCTTAATTTCCTTTAACACTTCCACAAAACGCACCCATATGGTAATATTTAATAAGACGAGAAACTGGCAGACTGACCAGAGGACGAGGTGGAAGTTGTATAAACGGTCTGATTTGTAGTGGATGAGAGGCACAAATGCACAGCAAAAAATATATGCGTCGTCTTGTTAGGCAGTAAAAGTAACAAAATATCGTAAATAAAAAAGATACATTTAGATAATGTTGATGCTCAAACAAGCAATAATATGGCAGTATTTATGCTTTAACCTACCAACGTATGCCTTGTATGTATTTTCCCTGTTGAAAAATCCAGCATATGCTGGTTAGGTATGTTATGAAGCATGGCTGCTGGTTTGAGCTGGTTTAAGCTGGTCCTTAGCTGGTCCTGCTCAGGACCAGCTCAAACCAGCAGCCATGCGTCAAAACATACCTAACCAGCATATGCTGGATTTTTCAACGGGGTTAAAAAAAAACGTTTCACCTTTAAAAGAGGAGTAATGATTTTTTATCGGTTATAGTAATTGTTCCTCATGTGTTTTATTCCAGGTTCTGGAGCGATGATGTCACAGAACTGAAGCAGAGGCCGTCATTGACAGTAAGTGAAACCTCACACATACTGAAATCCACACACAGTTGTGTATATGTGGTCCAAAATCCAATCAGCCGATCATTATGGCAAAATAAACCATGTTGTGAAGCTGAAAGGATGTCGTGTTGATGGTTACGTGTGGATTTCTGCTGCGTATGTCCTTGAGCGAATGATTGCTGTGATGCGATCAGAGGAGACGGCTCATTAGGTCAGGAATGTGTTGAGCTGTAATGACACGCTCGTCAGAGAGACCAGATCGCATCTCTAAGGTCAAAGCCAGCAGGATGCTGCACACAAACTCCCAGTAGAGCTTAATGCTTTAGCTTAGTCGGTCACTGCCTCTCATGGCTGTGTCCGAAACCAACAGCAGTCAATGAGTTCACAGAAAGCTAAGGAAACTGCTTTCAGACCGTCTTCCAAGGCATTGTCTAATCGTGTAGACAAACATATATTTGTTAGCTGAACAGCAAAAATATTTGCTTAAAGTGTCCCTGATATTATTTGTCACCACGTTTGCATTTTCACGGTTAAAGGTCACATGACATGCAGGTAGACAAATAAATAATTTCATATTTTTTTTTGTAAGTGTTTTATTTTGATTTGCTTTTAATTTTAATATATTTTTTATGATTACATTAATTGTTACAAATTTCCTGCAGTTCCCTCTAGGGCTGGGTATCGAGTTTGATACTTTTTAGGCACCGACCGAATTGCCTCGATACAATCGAGTATCGAAAAATGTCTTGTCATTCGGTACCAATTTCGATACCTAAGGGGTTAATCTCATCAACGTCAGTGAGGCGCAGATCGATCAGTGTTTGACATCCGCGAGAGCAATGCGAAAATGTACGGAGCACGAGCAGACTGGTACTATAGCCTAATACACCGATAGGTCTGCACAGTCGGTCCGCGTCACGCGCCACACTCAGAGATGTGGCTCACATGTGAGTGTTTGGTGTGAATGCATCCCAGCCCCTGTAGCTGTAAGGCTACATTTACACTGGTGCGTTTTTGTTTTAAAATGAAAACGATCCTCATCATACTGGCGTTTCCACTGCGTTTCAAGCCGGCTTTCCACTATCTCCGACAAACGATAGACCGAAAGTCATTAATTTCCAATGGAGAGTAGCGCGGGAGCTGCGTGGAGTTCCAATCATATGCAGATGTCCGTTCATACTTCAAGACCGAAAGCGCGTGTTATGTGACCATTCATGCACACTGTAGCATCATGCTACATAAGACCAGGGTTTAAATTGGGCCGGGCCATCTGGGGCTGAGCCCCGGCACTTAACATTATAGACTCCAGGGCTTGACATTAACTCTTCATTAACGCCAGACAAGTAACATGATTAAAACATCAGAAACCAAAAATAAGTATGTAAACACAAACGCAATATTATTCCGATTTTATTACATTTAGAGTAAATGGTGAATAGTGGGTATCTAATGTACAGTGGTGTGAAAAAGTGTTGGCCCCCTTCCTGATTTCTTATGTTTTGCATGTTTGTCACACTTAAAAGATTCAGATCATCAAACTAATTTTAATTTTACACAAAGATAATGCAAGTAAATACAAAAGGCAGTTTTTAAATGATTATTTTATTAAGGGAAAAAAGCTGTCCGAACCTGCCTGGCCCTACGTGAAAAAGTAATTGCCCCCTAAATCTAATAACTGGTTGTGCCACGCTTTGCCGCAACAACTGCAATCAAGTGTTTGCGATAACTGGCAATGAGTCTTTCACATCGCTGTGGAGGAATTTTGGCCCACTCTTCTTTGCAGAATTGTTTTAATTCTGCCACATTGGAGGGTTTTCAAGCATGAATGGACTGTTTAAGCATCTCAATCGGATTTAAGTCTGAACTTTGATTTGGCCACTCCAAAACCTTTAGATTTTCTTGAGCCATTCAGAGGTGAACTTGCTGGTGTGTTTGGGGTCATTGTCCTGCTACATAACCCAAGTGTGCTTGAGCTTGAGGTCACAAACTGATGGCCGGACATTCTCCTTCAGGATTTTCTGATAGAGTGCAGAATTCATGGTTCCGTCAATTATGGCAAGTCGTCCAGGTCCTAAAGCAGCCCCAGACCATCACACATACCACCACCAGCATGTTTGACTGCTGCTATGATGTTCTTTTTATGAAATGCTGTGTTGCTCACTCATTAAATGCTCACTACTGGCACCTACTGGCGTTTTAATTTAGTTGAAAAGTATCATTTCAATTTCTTGCTTGTATATTAAAAAAATATTTAATCTCATAATTATTTAATGCAGTTGTATTTTTCAGTGTCAATTGAATTTATAGATCAAATGTAAGAATTTGAAATGAAAGTATTAATGAAATTAGTGGGAATAGAATAAATAATTTGCACAAAACACACACACACACGTGTATATATATATATATATATATATATATATATATATATATATATATATATATATATATACTTCTGTCAATATGGGGTGCTGTGTGTACATTGAGGAAAAAAAATTAACTTAAATGATTTTAGCAAATGGCTGCAATATAATAGAGTGAAAAATTTAAGGCGGTCTGAATACTTTCCGTACCCACTGTATATATAAAAGCTCGATACCTTAAAGCCCCCCCCCCCTACACACACACACATAACAAATCCCAATTTAACCCCTGCATAAGGTAATAAATAAGATTTATATTCCGCTTTTATTCAAAACTCACTTTAAACCACCATCAAGTTTTTGCAATAACTTCCGATTGCCGTGTGTGTTTTGGCCATGTATTGTTGATGAAATTAAATATATTATAACCTCTGAGTCAGAGCAGCGATCATGGAAGCGAGAACACAAGCAGACAGCGCTGGAAGCTGCTAATGCTCATCAGTAAATCAGTGGGAAATGACGAGTCTGTCTGAGCTAGGCTTTTTAAAACAAACACACTAGTGTAAATGTAGCTAACAGATGTGTAAGCTGAAGACTATTTGAGCTTTATTAAAACTATTTGCACTGATTTTTTGGTAGTTACATTTTGTTCCTTTGTGCAGTGGCTTTGTGTCTGTATAAACATCAACAAGCTGAAAAATAAAACCAAAGTTATTTTTTTAGATAATGTAATCTTGTTCAAATAGATTTCATAAAATTGCTATCGGAAAAAGTATCGTTCAGGAACCGGTATCGAAGTCAAGGTATCGGTATCGATATCGAAAAATGTTTAACGATACGCAGCCCTAGTTCCCTCACAAACCTACCTGAACATACATTTTTATGAATACTCAATGCTTATTTCTTGGTAGAAAAGAATTATAATTTGGAAAGCCATTTCAACTTGTCAACTAATTTATTTCAGGATGCCATTTTTTTTGTAAATATTTGTAAGTATTACAAACGTAATGTTTTGGACATTTTTATTAATTTGGTGTCACTTATATACTATTAATTTTTTTAAATATTTGATCATTTTTATTTTATTTATATTTTCTGTTTTCATTTTAGTTTGTTTTAGCATTTTTTTGGTCTTGTATATGCCTGTAAGTGTTTATTTATTTATTTTATTTTAATCATTTTAGCACTTCAACCAAAACTAAACTTTGGCAACTAGCTGAAGTAAGTTTAAGGTTGTTTGTTTTTTTGTTTTAAATATTTTATTTAATGTTTACTTCATTTTAAGCAACAGTTTATCTAGTAATACCACTACAGTATTTATTAAACTTTTTTTATTTATTTAATTTGTTTTAAAGGGGTCATATGATGTTGCTAAAAAGAACATTATTTGGTGTAATGAAATGTTTATGCGGTTTAAGGTTCAAAAAACACATTATTTTCACATTTATTATTGTTTCTCCTCTATGCCCCGCCTTTCTGAAATGTGTCGATTTTTACAAAGCTCATCGGTCTGAAAAGCGAGGTGTGCTGTGATTGGCCAGCTATCCAGTGCGTTGTGATTGGCCGAATACCAATACCGGAAATGTTACGCCCCTACCATACTGTGATGATGCCCTGGCAGGCCAGAGCGATGATTCAAAAACATGAAAACCCATTATAAACGAGACATTCGTTGCATTGTGAGGACATAATTATGGATTATAATGACTTGTACTGTCTTTTTACGTGTTGTGTTGCATCGTGCCGCGTAAACAGAAAACCATGTCTGCATTTGTGATCGGAGAAATGACAAACAACAAGCCCTACTCTACACTGTTCAAAACTCGCTTTAAATATAACAAATATAAAAACTCTTTAAATATAAAAAATGTACTTGCGGTATGTGAGTCAGAACAGCCGGCATTGTAGTCTACTCTACCAGGATCAGGCAACAGTCCTCCATAAAATGCGCTGCACACATCTGAATATTTGGGTTGGAGTGTTCTGGAACAGTGTTGTAAATACAACTTAACCACTGATTTCTATTCATGTCCATTTTTGGAAGACCAAACAAAGTAGTGTCGCTTTCACAATGAAACGCAGCGTCACACATGGTGGCCTAGAGTGAGCAGAGGCTGGAGGGCTTGAGAACGGCGCGGTCAGTGGATTCGACAAAGGAGCGTCCGGAGGGCTTGCGGCAACCACATGTGACGACCCTGGGCTGGACTCCGCTTCTTCCACGATGAAAGCCGATCCGGTGATCCGCAGCGCAAAGTTGTTGTATTTCCTCAGCGACCAGCACGGATCCGCTCCAGGCATAACGAAGCCGGTATCGTCCTCTTTTGGAAGACCAAACAAAGTAGTTTCGCTTTCACAACGAAGCACACAGCACCTTCACGACATGGCGGCGGCAACAACAATACTACAGCGAGAATAAAAGTTATGCCTTCTTTCTTTGCGTGAACATTTGGGTGGTGTTATGCAAATCTTCCCACATAGTGACGTAGACATGTGGGGGCGTGTTAGAACGAGCTGTTTTAGGTAGGCATGGTTGACTCTTTAACTTTTATAAAGAATATCTCTTTGGATTTGAGACTTTAGTCTTTGCAACTTTACAGATCTTCTTTATGCAAGTTTTTATTTCAGTTATTGAAAACCATTTTTAAT